TACCTACTACAGGCCAAGCAGCTAGCACACACAATGGAACTATAGACAGTCAACTGAAATCCAATCCACGAAATAATTCTTCATTATTAATAAGATTGATAAAAAGAAATAAATTCTTCTCAAGACAGTAAAAACTGAAGCAAAACAAAGTATGTAGTCATAGATGCAGAAATTTAAAACTCAAATCAAAATAGCAGTAGAAGATTGACAATATAGATAGATAAGAGCAGCTCAAGAAACATTTTCTAAAATGAAAGCCCTGATTGATTCAAATAACTAATCCTTCAGCTGAGAAACTGCAACCATTGAGAGGATAAAATCCATTGAATAGGAAATATATTACAGACGACATTATTTGAACACCATCTAATTGAAGAATTATGTGAAACAAGGCAGAAAGACACCAACCTCCTCAGTGGTCCTAGGTTGGAGCATAAGCTTACTTGAACCTTTGTGTTTCCTCATCCAATCCGTGTTTGCATCATCCAACTTCTCTTCGTCCTGAACTACACCTCTTTCTCCAAGGATCTTCTTAAAATAGCTTATATCATCTATATTAATTTGTGAAAAATCGGGGTTCCTCTGAGTAGTTGATGCTCCAGAAGCAAGATATCTAAGCTGAACAGCATAACTATTCCCATTAACTCTTGGAAAAGAACCCGAAGCCCCATTAGCATTGCCTTGAAACTCTTTGTAGAAAGGTATATAACTTCTACCATAAATATAACGAACACCTGCAATCAATTAAAATCAATTTTTATATACGAATTAGCAAAGGAAAATAGAAATCAAATTCTAACATTCCTCAAATGCTTGCTTTTAATGTGGTCAATCATATTTTGCTTTAACATTCTTCACGGAGAGACCATCTAATTGATTATACATTATTTAACTATGAAAATATACATTAAATTCGATCATTCATCTAATACTGAGAATTCACAACAACTTAAAGAAACACAGCTTAAAGTAATTATAATTAAATAAATCAATTGAACTTTAAAGAAGAAATTGAAAATTTAGCCAACATAATCATATAAATGTGTCGATGTAAGACACGAGGAAGATTATTATACGAGAAATTCAATAAAGATTAGTAATTGTGAGACGGTGTAAATTGTTGGTACCTGAAGTGAATGAATAATTCGATTGGCGATCAAAGTTGGACGAGTATTTGAGCAGACGATAAGTCACTCTCCATTTCTCCATCATTGATCTATCTCCCTCGTAAAACTGATTTTGTTGCTCGACTCAACTCTAACTTAAAGAGATGGTGGGGTAAAAAAATTCAATTGGTTACTGAACTTATAGGAAAGTTTCAGTTTCGTCACTAAACTTTAATTTGTTTGAAAATAATTATCCAACTCTAAGTTTTGTTTCATGTTGATAATTGAACTTTAATTTGTTCCAAGTCAATCACTAAACTTTAAGTTTTGTTTCATATTGGTTGATTCACTAGTTTCCATTTTAAGAATTAATCCTTTGAAAACTTGTACTTGTCCGATTTTGAGTTGCAGGGAGACTAATATAGTGACTAACGCAAATCAAAATTTATAAGTGGGTGCCGTACGACTACTTTGGAACGTATTAAAATTTAGTGATTAACTTGAAACAAATCTTAAAATTAAATGATCAGTTTAAAATAAATTAAAGTTTAGTGATCAACTTCAAACAGACCTATAAGTATAGCGACTAGTTGAACTTTTTATCCAGATGTCGAGCGTTTGGCTAAGAATAAAACAAATACTCAAAAATAAGTAATTTTTGAATAAATAATTTTCTATCAAACATAACAATACATTACCCGGTTTAAAAACAATATTCAGGGTCGACTTTATTGTTAAAATGACTATCATTTTTACAATCAAAATCTAAATTACTTTTAGTTGATAATTTTTATATCTCCTCATTTTATCTTCGACTCTTAAATCACATTCAACGTTGTGATTTCATTATTATAATTTCATATTTATCATTACATCCTAAATCAAACAAATCTTTGAAAATTGACATAGATGAAACAAGTGAGTTTCTAACATAGCGATAGAAGAAACGAGAAAACCTCATATTAACCTTCAAAAATAACTAAAGAGCAAATCTCAATGTTTGTTTAATCAAATCAACCAAACTATAATAACGGAGATAAAAAAAAAAATTTAAATAACAAAACCCCAAGAACTGTGCTTAGACCAAAATAACCTCACTAATAACTTAATTAAATTAAAGTTGTACATTAAATTAAATGTAGATTCCAATGCATAGTCGAATGTTGGCTGAACTCCATCCATGTTTAGTTAATCCTCACGGACCCAAATGCTTCTTCCCATTGCTCTTGGTTTGGTTGCACTTAGAAAAATGATATCGCAATATCATCTGCATCAATCTTCCTAGGAGGGGATGGTTCACCATCAAATTAGAACGTGTCCCGTCCTCAAATGAACCATCACCCATACGAGGAATGAGATGTTCGACACTGAACACGTTAGAAGTTTGTATATGACTAGGCAATTTGCGGCAATAAGCATTTAAGTTGATTTTCTTAACAATAAGGTGTTAAGAATTACTAGAAATAATGGAAGCTAAATAGGATGGAAGAATGAGTCATTCTCATATAAGGAACACAACGGAGAAAACTCAAGAGCTTTCACACGAAGAGCATCCAAGAGGGAGTGATGGCAGATTCAAAGCATCAATGACAAAATTAGAAGACGTGCCATGCATAGCCCTAAATTTTATCTTCGATGCATTAAGGACCAACGACGTCTCAAAACTAATACTAGAAGACTCCTGCCAAATGTTGGGGATCAAAATTCTATAAGCGCTATAGATTAGAGATCAACACTGTAATTTTCTCTAAAACTTAATGAGCCGATCAATCGAAGCCGAAAAGCCACTCCCTTGGCTTCTTCTCTTGGCGTTAAAGCCCTATCCAATTTCTGCAACACGCAGATTTCACTCTCTGCACCGTAATGGCGTCGTCTTCTCTATCTTCTCTCTCTTCCGTATGGAACCAACCCCAGTGCGCCCTCCGCATAAACCTCCCTAAAGGATATTCAGTAATCTCATTCAGATTTCTCTCCTCCAAGCCGCCTCATTATTCGCCAATTGCAGCATCTCTTAACTTCCGCCGCCACCGCCGTGCACTCTGGCGGAGCACCGCTTCAGTATTCTCAGGACGTTTTTCTCAGTCTCAATCCCATTCTTCGATTTCTAAGGTTTCTGAAACTCCAAGTTTACATCGTTTCATGCCCAAAGCTACTGCTACCATTTCCGATGCCTGCGTCTCCGACGTCCAGTCAGAGTAAGTGCATGCCTTTGTGTTGGTTATAGATACGCGTATTTATGTACGTAGAGGGGCAGTAGAGTTGGAACTTGTGTAAGTACTGGAAAGTAATGGCCTTCGTAAATGAACAGTGCTGGAAAGCAGAGGAACAGTGATTGAGTGAATGATCTTTACAATTCCTTTGCATTTTTGTTTTTTAAATGTGATCTTTCTGGAACGGCATTTAAGTTAATCTGTCTACATTAGATGCGTTGAATTGATGAAATGTGGAGAAAGTGAAATTTGTAATTTCACCAAGTGACGACTGATGAATTACAGAAAATTTCTAATAGCCGCAATTTATTCTACTGGGAAATTACATTTTTGGATTCTAATTATGCAATGGCTCATTATGTCACTGAAAGAATCTTTGATTGGTGTTGAGATAAATATTTCCCATCGCTATACGTCCTTAAGGCACCTTTTGCTCCACCATACAAACAGAACTTTTATGTCACCTATTTAGTTATATCAGTCATAAATACTACTTTTTTGCTCCCGGTTTCCATACTTCCATTCATCTTAATTCTTCGTTTGTTCAAGTGCATGTTGCTGATGAAAGAAAAGTTTGTTTGGATTAAGAACTTGATGTGGAAGATAAAAAAGAACGAGTGGAAGTGTGAAACTAATTTCCCTCACATTTTCTCTGTTACCAATATAAGACTCGGGTTTTTTATTTTTGTCAGTTGTAACCTGTGAAAATGAAAGGTAAATAATGTATCTCCTATCATGACACAACTACAAACTACTTCAGAACATAAATAAGATCTTGCAAAAATATAGCAGAAAGAGTGTTATGTCTAAATTCTGATACAAAACATAAAGTGTACTTGAAGTATTACAAGGTTTTGCTAACCTTGTAATAGCATTATTCACGAGGCTTGAGTTTGTAATTTGCTAACCTGCCTTGCTAGTGTAGGCTGTAAATTCAATCCCTTAAGTGGAAGATTTCACCAGTAGTGCATGTCATTGTTAAGTAATGGGTGAAAGAGTTTGAAACATATGCTGCTTAAGGTAAGATCCAACTCTAGAATAAAAAATAAATTCCACTTGGCTATACAGAGTGGTGATAGGATTTGATGCCCTAACATGCCTCATGAATTAAGATGTCACTCAACTGGAAGCACTTGATTTTTATTTTTTTTTGAACAATGAATAATGGTACTCTTGGGCAATTTCATCCGTGTGAGCTTGTGGCTTGCACCCTTCAAATTCACTTGAAGGTTTTGTATCTGGACACATCTTCTAATCAAACTGCTATCCACGATTATATTATCCACTTTAATTTGCACCTGAAAGCAACCAAACTGAGCTTTGTTCAAATAATGCCAATATTACGTTGTGACGAGCAAAGAAACCGGTTGTAAGGAAAGGTCAACCAAAACATCTTTTATGAAACATTTCTAGTAGCTTAACTTGCTGCTCTATTTACTTCTTGTTCTGTTTTTTTCTAATAATTTGTGGCTGTGTTTATTTGTTTGTCTATTTACGCCATTGAGTAGTGAGTACGATGTGATTCAAATAGTCCTATTTCTGTATATCTAAGTTAAAGATGTCACGTAAAATTAGTGATTTTAATGGGTAATTTAATTGATTAGCACGCTGCTTTATATTGTATTTTCCAATGTCTTTAGATGATTTTTGAACTGCCTGGTTTCTTTGAATGGTAATAATTTTGAAATATCATGTATTTTATGGTGTTCCACCATAAAGAGTGTTGAGCACTCTCAATATCTCTCGTGTTTATTTATTTTTCTTTTGTCTAGCCCTGTGTCTGTTCCTGAAGCTCCCTCAAGAGGCCGTATATATCATGAAACTTATGGATGCCAAATGAATGTTAATGATATGGAGATTGTCTTATCTATCATGAAGAAATCTGGATATAGCGAAGTTGTGGACGTCCCTGAAAGTGCAGAAATCATATTTATAAATACTTGTGCAATCAGGGACAATGCAGAACAAAAAGTTTGGCAGAGACTTAATTATTTTTGGTTTCTAAAAAGGCAATGGAAGAGTAATGTTGCTATTGGAAGGTCACAATCCCTGCACCCTCCAAAAGTTGTTGTCCTGGGGTGTATGGCTGAGAGGCTAAAGGATAAAATATTAGATGCAGATAAGATGGTTGATGTTGTTTGTGGGCCCGATGCCTACAGGGACTTGCCGCGACTTTTAGAAGAGGTAGACTCTGGCCAGAAAGGAATCAACACTCTTCTTTCGCTTGAAGAAACTTATGCTGATATCAATCCAGTGCGTATCTCTAAAAATTTGATAAGTGCATTTGTATCGGTAATGAGGGGTTGCAATAATATGTGCTCATTTTGTATTGTTCCTTTCACTAGAGGCAGAGAGCGTTCACGTCCCGTAGAATCAATTGTTAGAGAGGTGGCAGAGCTTTGGAAGGAAGGAGTGAAAGAGGTAACTCTTCTTGGGCAAAATGTGAATAGTTATAATGATACATCTGGGCTTGAAGAGGTTGAACCTGGAGTCAACTGGAAATATAGTGAAGGATTTTCCAGCTTAGGCAAAGTGAAAAAAATGGGTTTGCGCTTTGCAGATCTACTTGACAGACTTGCCTCAGAATTTCCAGAAATGCGATTCAGATATACCTCCCCACACCCTAAAGATTTTCCAGATGCATTACTGTATGTCATGAGAGACAGATATAATATCTGCAAAAGCATCCATTTGCCTGCACAATCAGGCAGCAGTACAGTACTCGAAAGGATGAGGAGAGGATACACCCGAGAAGCATATTTAGATCTCGTGAAGAAGATACGTGGTATAATTCCTGATATGGGCATAAGCAGTGATTTCATATGTGGTAAGGCCCTTCATTCTATAATGGTTTTACTTTTTCATGGTTCGTAGAATGCTTAAAGAGCTATTGCCTGAATAGATATAACTAATTTTGTTAGATTAATATTTTAGAAAAATGTATCAGGGAATTTAATTTTAATCTGCTTAGACCATTATTCGGTTGATGTAATGATCGATAAAAATGAAAAAAAAAAAAAAAAAGTTCACGTAGGCTGTAGGTGGCCTAAAATTTATTGCAAATAAGACTTAGATCATTGTCGTCATCAGTGATGAGTCCATCACTCTGAATTGTTTGAGATGGGTCCTGCTGCATGTTTCTGCTTATTCTAGGAGTATACACTACAATAATGTCATTATGACTGCAAGGTTCATTTCAGGAAGATGCCTATGATTGAGATTGGAAGATGCAATGAATTATGATCGTGATTGCATGACGTGGATTGAACAAAAGTTGGTGTCGATGGATAGACGACTTGAAACTTAATCTAGAGCTAGAAGGAAATCTCAAAATTACCATAAAAGATCCTAGTGCCAAAAGGATATATTAAAATTACCATAACAAAGATCCTAACATAAAAGGAAAATCTAAAAATACCATAGAAATAGTAAAATAACAAACTAACTTAAAATAATCTCTACAGGCCACATTTGTCCACTTATGGGCTGCATCTTTATGTCAGTGCAGAAATCTTATTTCTAGCCTTAACTGTAATAAACATTGTTTCCACTTTGTGCACTGCTGCGGCAGTTTTATGTCCTTCCAGTTCAGTCTATATTGATTGCTTACTCGAATATATCTCACCTTAATTGCAAGCAACTTTTGCGTCTCTTACACTTGATGTAGTTGCATATTTCTCACTCGTTCAACTTTTAATTATGGCTTTATTAATATGAACATCTGTCACTAGTTAAGTCGAATAGCCCACCACCTGCCTTTTATATATAATATATTGACATAGTGTGCACGCGATATTTATGTATGTCTTTTATTCCTAATACTGAATACTTTTCAGTTACATGTATCTTGGTTCTTTTTAGTTTATTCTTGCATTACTGGGACTGATTACGAGTTTCACACAGGCACAGAAATATTGCTGCATATGAAATTAAGGTACTACAATAAGGAGGAACATAGAGAAGTTCACCATATTCATGTGATGAGTGAAGAATTAGTTGTCTATATATAATAGGTCAGCTGTAGCATTTTTCTTGTCAAAAATAGAAGTTAAGTGTTCCCAAAATCTCTGCCCATAATACCTAATAAGCATTCGTCAATCAAAGTAATCTAGCCATCAGATATTAAAATATTCCTTGGGTATTCATAAACTGGGTTTTGCTACAGGCTACTCATTTTACTTCTGATGATCTACAGGTTTCTGCGGAGAAACAGAGGAGGATCACAATGATACGCTGAGTCTCATTAAGGGTGTAGGCTATGATATGGCATACATGTTTGCTTACAGCATGAGGGAGAAAACCCATGCCCATAGAAATTATGTTGATGATGTTCCTGATGGCATAAAACAAAGGAGGTTAGCGGAACTTATTGAAGCTTTTCGGGAGAGTACAGGTCAGTTCTATGACTCCAAAATTGGCACTGTGCAACTTGTATTAGTTGAGGGGCCCAACAAGAGAGCACCCAACACAGAGCTCATTGGCAAGAGTGACAGAGGCCATCGGGTATCATTCCCTAATCTGCCAGTCCCAGATAGGGTCAACAATGATGGGAAGCGGAATCCAAAGGTTGGCGATTATGTGGAAGTTCACATATCCAAATCCACTAGAGCGACTCTCTTTGGAGAACCACTAGCCGTTACTAAATTGAGCTCATTTTACAACAACATGAATGAAGATGTTGCCTATGCTAGCAAAACTTAAAAGTATTGTCTGAATTTTTTTTACATATTTTTTTTAATAAAATTTAATTATATGTAACTTGTGTTGATGGAATTATGGAAATCTGGATAGAGTTTCTTGCTTCTAGAGGTTGTTTTAGAACATCGGGGTCCATTGACCGGGTTATTATTGTTTTCTTCTAAGATGCAACTTCCCTATGGCATGAAAGTATCCCTCTGGAGTTCAGTCCTGGGGCACGGAGTAATTGGAGACCTTTTGCCTTATCCATGTCTGATTACGATCTCACATTTGTAATCAAGGTTTCCAGTTGCTGCCTGCTCTAGTCTCTAAGCAGAAAATCAAGGTATTTGAATCGTGCGCTTTATCATGAATAATGTCGATGTTAGGGTCCGTAACTACTCGACTTAAGTGGAATCATTTAATCAGACAAGCAAATGCAGCATAATTCTGT